ATGAGTCTACTAATAAAAAACAGCATTCTTGGTTTTTCTCCCAAGGCCAATGTATAGAGGATGAGGGGGACTATGCTGAAGACATAGACATTCATAGTTGGGACAAGAATGGGCTTGGACAAAATAATCAAATCTTCTAAGAGATTGGACTCAAGATAAGATAAAGAAACTATGATCTGGAATTGGAAAGAAAACATACCCTGAAGCTATCAAAAATTTAGGAGGTGTAATTCTTCTTTTTCTTTGTACCATATCCCTTCAGGACATAAGTGATCATGGCTCTCCACAACTTCCTGTCCTTTGTAGCTCTTAATAAACTTTATCTTTTTTCTTTTCTAAACCTTGTTCCATCATCCATTTACTCAAGCTTGCTAGATAGGTTATGTGTATGATTTTCTCAGTCCTTTTTGCTTTTAATTTGTCTGGTATCAGATTTTCCAAATCCGCTTTCATCATTATGTGCCCTAAAAATTTCAATTGTCTTTTCCTGAGGTTAAGTATAAGTGTCATTTTTGTTTCTATTTTCTCTAATCCTTTGTCATTGCTCACATGTTTGATCCATGGTATTCTCACCATATTTCTGTTGCTTCAAGTCTCTTCTTCATCTGTGAGGAGATTGTCTAGCATTCTCTGCTATATAGAAAGACTGATATTACATAACAGTTCAGTACTCTTTTCTTTGTTTCTAACAAAATGTTTTTTGTTTCATAATACTTTGCTTAGCTTTTGGAAGGCAACATTCACTATCCCAATCTGTCTTTGGATTTCATTGACACATTTTCTACCCACTGTTAAAACACTTCCCAGATATTTAAATTCTTGTCTTTGCTTGATTTTGGAATCTCCAATTTGTAAATTGCATGTTATTTTTGCCAATACCATGCATCCTGTCTTCTTGCAATTGATGTTTAGTCCTTTCTTCTTGCCTTCCTTCACTACCTTCTGTAAGAGTTCTTGTAGTTTTCTTTTTGTGTCTACTATCTACTGTTTCATCTGCATATCTCATGTTGTTAAGATTGTGGCTGCCAGTAATGAATACTGGTAGGACTTCTAATTCTCTCAGAATTTCCTCATTGTATAAATTGGATAAGTTCGGTGAGAAAACAAATCCTTGTCTTACATTCCTTTCTATTTTTCTATATTTATTGAATTCATTTTCTATCTGTATGCAGGCTGTTTGCTGCCAGTCTAGATTCTGGATTATTTTCTTCCCAAATATATCGAGTTTACCTAGCAGTTCTAACATTTCTTTGTGATGTACTTTATCAAAAAAATTTGCATAATCTATAAAAGACAGGTACACATTCTTCTGCATTTGTATTGTTCTTTCTGATATCATTCTGAGCATAAATATCACATTTCATGTTCCAGTGTCTTTATCGAACACACTCTGTTCTTGTCTTATTTTGAGTCTAATTCTGCTGAGCACTCAATTTATCAGAATTCGGATGATAAATTTTGTTATATGACTCATTAAGCTAATTGCCCAGTGGAGATTCCTTTGCAGCTGGCTTCTTAGGCTGTGCTATGAAAACGGATTTACTTAGTTTTTCTGGTATATCACCTATGTTGTATATTAAACACTTCATGGAGCAAATAACAAATGTGTCTTCTTACAAGACCTATTCATCTTAAACAGTGAGGTAATTCTGAGAGAATTGGAAATCCTACCGGTATTCAGCATTGGTGGCCACAATCTTAACAACATAAGATATGAAGCCTACAGATTATTTGTCTTTAAGCTGCTACAGAATTATGAAGATCTTTACCAAATACCAGAAACCACTTCACTTGAGAAATTTCAACAGTAGCAACAGCTAAAATGAATAGTTCATGTAACTTGAAGAGAAAATAATGAGGATGTTGACTTTCCACACTACTTCAAATAAAAGGTTAGGAAGGAAACTTCCACTGATACTAGAAAGATTGATAACAGCTAATAGATTTGAGAAACTTATTTTCCAAGTGTAGTTTCCATAAAGGAATTATACCATCTAAAATCTCTTTTTATTAAAGAGTATTAAAAGTGCACAGTAAATTATATTATTATTATATCACAGAATTTGATAGTAAAGAACATACTACATAAAGATTTTCTGCTTTTGGAAAACAAAAAATGCTTTTGCCATATTTTGGACTGTGAATGCTCCCACTGGAAAAGGAGATACCCCTGGGAACTGCTAGATCTGCTTAAAAGCATGCTGCCCATAATGACCATGAGCAGTTGTGGGCCACCTACTAACATGTAGAGTGCTGCAAACACCACCAACATGACCACTCCTCTCAATGACCATTACCTCACCTGGGTTTGATAAATCACCTGACTCTCCACACATTGAATCCAGAGTATCATCTCAACATCATCACCACCCAGTGACGAGCCTTCATTATTGGCAATGCTGTCACCTCAGCACACCCAACCTACTACAGCAGCCAAATATCCAGACTTGACACTGCCACGCCCAAGACACCAACTGTCATGACTGACATCTCAACATCAATGTCAATGATAACTAACCAGAGACCTAAGGTCAGAAATGACATCATGACATTTTCCACGGAGCATTTTTTTTAAAAAAAAAAAAAATAAGATCACACAAAATTTTACATAAATGAAACTCTTTGCAAAGTCTGAATACAATTTTTGTATTTCTTTAAGGCATGGGCTACCAGGGATGACTTCAATGAGTCTATTCAAACCTTTTCCAATCAAACTGAGGCTCCAACTACAACTAGAATTATTTATGTCATCATGCATCTTATTTTTGAGATTTTGATTTCAAGGTCCTTGTACTTTGATAGTTTTTCAAATATCTTCAAATATTCATTACAGTCTGCAGGGACTGCCATGTTATTATTATTATTATTATTATTATTATTATTAACACCATGCTCTTCTGGTCAGAGTTGTAATAGTTAGCTTGAGACCTGAACTTTAATGCATTTCTATAGTAAAATAATTTATATAACATTCTCCAGTAACATTATTTATATAATTTTCTAAAGAAAAATCATTAGTAATGTATTTATTGTACATATAAAAATCCATTCACATAGGCAAATGGTTAGAACATTAACTTTCCAAACATGAGACCTGGGTTTAAATCTCACCATGGTTGATTTGTGAAGAAAGTGACTTCTTGATTTTATTGGCCTGTAGAGTTAATCCTCTTGTATGGTATATTTCAAAGGAAAGTGCCTGCTAACCATACCATAGCTTGACCTAAGCTTTGTGAGGAAAATTGGGTAGACAGAACTATTTGGGAAACATTGATGTTTGAGATAGCATGAAATCACAAATCATCATGACAAAGATTATGAGTGTACTGGCCTTGTACACACTGTTGATCATGCTGGATAATGCGCTTATTCCCAGAAAATGTAACCAAGATCTTCTCAGTAGTTGCAGTATAAACTACAGGTGAGCTCTGTGGGTGTTGAACAAACACAAATGTGCCTGAGCAAGCGTCTGCAATAGGGATTGGTTAACAGTCCTAGCAGACTGGCATACACAAATACAAGCATTCAGACATAGTAGCTCATTACAGCAGTATCACTTAGGACTCCTGACAGCATTACTCTCAGAGTCATTGAACCATGCAAGCCCCTCCACCATGACAAGGAGTGACCATCAAAAGTATGCATATAGAAACATACAAGCATAAACAGATATTTCACAGTGGATGTTGGAGTAAACAGTTTGTCATCAAATGTACCACATTATTATTATTACTTTAGAAACTAAACAATAAATAAGAAAATAATGAAAATATACAATAGTAAAAAACTTAACTAACCAAAATAACATTATGACTCAAAACACCTTTTTTTACAAATATGAAAATACATTTTCATATTGGTGGCAAGGTTGAAAACAAGGACACAAACTAAGTATGACTAACTCCAAAGATCTCAATGGTGGAACAAGTGAATGATGATTACAACAGACTGCAATGGCTGAACCAGCAGATGAAGAAGGCTATATATGATGGACATGCTACAGAAAGTACCACTAAAAGTTGTAACAGTCTGTTGCAGTTTCATAACTGGATTCTGTATGTCTCGTTCCATATGTCACAGAGGAAGGTCATAAAATCAAGGTCTGGGTCACTTACTGGCAAGATGAGTTTCTCCTTAAACAAATTCACATCATCAGCACTTTCTTCTAATCTTATTTTCTTTCACCGCTGACCAACTTTTGCAATGACAATAGGGAATGGATGATGGTTTTAGTCCTGAACCTGCACGTTAGTAGTGAATTTAGTCATCAACATTATCAACACCATCATCATCATAAAGGAAGTGATCAGCAAGAAGAAATTAAATTCTTGGATATAAGATAAAGCTAATGATAATGACAATGACTTATTGTAAAACTTGATCATTGACACCCCCCTTTATTTTCCTTAAGTAAATTCATCAATGTTGTAAGTTTATTAGACATATTAGACCTTGATTTTATGACCTTCCTCTGTGACATATGGAACGAGACATACAGAATCCAGTTATGAAACTGCAACAGACTGTTATAACTCTTAGTGGTACTTTCTGTAGCATGTCCATCATGTATAGCCTTCTTCATCTGCTGGTTCAGCCATTGCATAATAGTTGCCTTTATTCCTGACACTGAAAATCCATGTCTTCTGCATTTTCAATGCATTTCTATGGTAAAATTATTTACTGAAATATTTTATAATGCATTTATGTTATGCATATAATAGTCCTAAATTATTTGATACATTTTCTATGGCTTATCAACCCTTTGCAGGTTATTTAAAGCCAAAAAATATTTTTAGATTGCAAAAATCTTTTTAGATAATAATAGTTTTGTGATACAAGGTTTACTAATTAAGCTATAGCTGGGGGGAGAAGAGGTGGGTTCATATCTTTCCCAAGGGTATTTGCATGTAAGTGAATATAATGAACCCAACTGGAATTGGAAGTCGGCTGTTGATTAACAATTCAGAGCCATTTTCCGTTACACCAGCTGCATATCCTAGCTTACAGCATCTGGTATTCCCAAGTAGTCACTCATCAAGGTACTGACCAGGCTTAATGTTGCTTAACTGGTGATTGTATGGGAACTAGTGTTTCAACATGATATAGCTATAAGCCTTAATAGTCCTAAAAATGAATGACAATATTGAAAACTATTTTGTGTAATGCATTTTCTCTTTAATTGGACTTCAACACTGAAGTAATGTTCTTATTGATGAGAGAGCTAGGAAAATAAACATTGGTTATCATTAATTAGAAAGGGGATTGCCTGTAGTCAGGGACTGAAATAAGTGTTACTGATGAAATAGGGATTATTATATTGTGACATGGCCCTCAATATTTAAATTAAAATCAGACATTATCAATCTATCAAGGGACACACTTCTGTTTCCTCTTTCTTTGTTTCTTTGTTTGTTTGTTTCTTTTCCTTTATTTCCAGTCTAGACTGAGAGATGGCAGGATAGAATCTGAGTCACTTAACAAACTGCCTAATGAAATAATTAAAAGCCAATCACAAAAGCCCATGTGACATGTGCTGCTAAGTGTGATTTTTAAATATACTTTCAATTTCCAGAAAATCTCCAACTACATCAAGTCATGAATAAATTGACTCCCATCATGTGCTCATTAGAAATATGCCTACCATCATATTTGATTATTGGATATGTAACAAATAAGAAAATATTATTACTGAAGAAATCTTCCCAGTCTTATCTTGGACATATTCAATTACTAGATGTGTACCAAATAAGAAAATATTATTCCTGAAGAAATCTTTCCAGTTTTATTTTGAATTTATTTTGATTACTAGATGTAAAACAAAATACAAGTACAATATGAACTCATAGTTTATGGATAATTGGATTGATATCCAGTATCAGGTAAGTGCCTCTTGTTCTTACATCTGCTATCTTACATTCTCTCCCTATTTTATTGTTTTGTACATTAAATTCTTTTTAAACTTTCATTCTGTTTGTTGTTTGTTGACACCTCTCTTATGCATTTCTATCTGAGTGATCCCATCTTTTCTTCCTTTGAACCATGTATTGCCAGTTCATAATAATATGCATAATGTAAATGCATTGCTACATTAATTTTTTAGACTTGTTTTTAGCATATGACATTTGTAAAAACATAATGGCCAAAAGAGTATTATGATATAATATAAATAATATTTATAGATTTGTGAATGCATACACACACATATAATTATTCATAAATACATTGACAACATAACATAAACAATAGACATGTTATAGACAAGCGTATAGTTGCAAGAAGGAAATACGACAACAGCAGAAATAGATTTACGTGATTTATTTCAATAGGAACGTGTGGGTTTGGGACAGCTACCATGTGGTATAGTTCATAATCCAGCTCCCGGTCTGGCTTGATCTCTCATAATAGTTCACACTGGTTGGTGTGGCGCTCCTCCTGCTGACTGCTGCTGACTGACCATGACAGATCTCTTCCCTAGCTTCCTGTTGACTCCCATTGTACTTCCCCCGTGTGACCCCTTTTATGGCGTTTTTCATGGCTTAACAGGCTCAATAAACGACGCAAGTATAATTAGGAGGGAAGCATTTTTATTGGTCGAAAAATAAAAACACTTTTTGTGATGGGACCTTGTCCCATTCACATCCAGCTCTCGCTCTTGAGTATGTTAGTTTATTTGCCTGCAGATCAGCTGTGATATGTCTTATTTTATTTTATAACAGATATAACACTAGCAAAAACCCTCAATTATTTTGCTAATAATTGGCATTTGATAATGTTATTGAGAATTATTCAATTTACTAGAAAATACAACAGAAATAAACAGAAAATTCTCTTCATAACACATGAGCAGAACAATGGTTAGATCATGAAAGGATTCATACTGTCAGAGAATTTGAATAAAAAATAGAATAAATGTCAAATTGCAATGGAGTTAAGAATTCCTTTTGAATCTGTGAACCATGTAATCATACACTAAACCTGCATCATTTGAAATAAATTTTTGTGCAGTAAGATAGAAAAAAATGTCTCTCTTTCAAAACAGCAAATATGGCAAAGCATATCAAACTTAAGTGGAAAATAAAAGTACATTATTTTAATTACATAGGTTATTAACAGAGACTAGGCAGAAAAAAGCCACTTTGTAAACCAATCAACATTTAGTAGTGAAAGTAGTGAATAAAAAAAACATGGTGGACAGAGAATTGGAGTTTTGCCACACTGTCAGGTTTTCAGAAAAACTCATTTATATTTTGTTTTATTTTGAATAGTGGATGAGAATATGAACTTGGAGATTGCATAAGAATTTTGCTTAAATTGTCTACAGCTCACTATCAAATAAAATGGATTTTTAGTCATAGTGTGGGTAAACACTTAGAGTTTGGTAATTGAAATCTGAAATGTATGTGGAATAACATTTCAGAAAAAGTATATCCATTCTTGTAGTACTTATTGATGGACTGATGGTAATTTAAATCAAAACTTCATGTTTTTCATGGAGAGTGAAGAGAAAGATTTGAGATTGACAGATTCCAAAAGACTATTAGGGACTTTCCTGACTATGTTAGTCTCATGCAAGAATTCTATTAATATTTCCAAGTCATATGAGATCATAAAATAAGAAAAATATCCAGAGAACCTCAAACATAATGATTTTCATTGTGTTTTCATTACACTTTGGTTGGATATCTAATGAAAGAAGATAGCAGATCTTATAAAATTGATGTCTGCCTACAAGAGAAAAATGGTTAAAACCTGCTAAATTTAATAAATTTTTAATTTGTGTGATAAAATTATCTTCAATGGTTTATATCACTAAATAAAAGGACAAGTCTATTTATTTATATTTGTAATTTCATTTTTATTTTATCATCATTAGATATGTGTGTATAAACATAATAAATAATAAAAAAAGCTAGTATGTTAGTAAGAAAAGGAAAAAAGAAAGAAATAAGGGAAGATAAAGGTGGAGATAGAGAATCAGATTAAGCTGATAAAAACAGATACTACACACTTATCTCATCCAAAAGGCTGAGAATCATTGCGACTGAGATAAAACTGCCATTTTTCAGATACACAGTATTGGACAATAGAAAAATGTAAGGTAAAAAAACAGTTACCATAAACAAAATAACATTATCTGGTGAATTATTTTAAAACTAGCAGCATGACCCGGCGTTGCCTGTGCTTGATTCAAAAATTGTATGACTCATACAGCAATCGCTATCACTTGACTTAAAATATTTTTGCCCTTCCTTGCCTTTAAAGGAGTGCCTTTTGCAGTGCTGATGTTGCTACATGCCTTACTTCTTGCCTATATCACACTGCAAATTTTTTCTAAGCTCTATACTAAACATTAAATCTGTTATGAAAAAAGAACTAAACAAAATGAACACAAAACGATCAGCTTTAAAAAAAGACACATAACTGGAAAAATCGAATGAAAAAAGAATGTTAACAACAAATACCTTTTCACACCCAAACCAGTTCTGCGGAATCAGAATCAACGTTGAGTTTAAGCAAGCGAATGAGTCAACTGGAGTAAAGTGCCATGCAGATTTAAATTTTTCACACTTGTGATGAATGCAGCTATCGATTTTTTTTGCATGCTAGCATGCTAGTTAACATTCGTGTCAGTCAGCTGTTGGATCTCACACTGGCCAATAGAATCTTTCTGCCTATTCATGGCAGCAAGCTATAGGCTCTCACTCTGGCCAGTAGAAAATAGGCGCAAACTACATGAAAACTGTCGTAGAAGCATGAAAAAATCGATTATTTCCACTATCAATGGGAGTTGGGAAATGCAAAGTCAGTCTTTGCCTTCCCGCTAACTTGGAGCATGTGCATGTAAATTTTGGTGCAAATCCGTCAAAAATAGCGGCTGTGCATTCGTTATACACACACACACACACACACACACACACACACACACACACACACACACACACACATCCTGACTTTTATAGATAGAGATTATTAAGAGAAATATTCTTAAGATGGGTATTTGGCTTGAAGGAAAAAAAGAAAGAAAGAAAAGATAGAAGTATAATGTTTCCTGCCAATACTTCATAAATAATAGACTATTCTGTTTTGATTGCATAGAAAAACAAGGCATATGAATGAAAGAAAGAAGGCAAGTAAGAAGTATTTAACAGCTGTTTTAGCGAAATGGAAAAGTTGTCAATTTCAAATTTTTTCATTTGTACCCACTTCTTAAAATAATGACTAGCATTCATATTTATAATTGTTATTGCAATATTTTGTTAAAGTTGTTAAGCTCAAATATTTAATGTGGCAATAGGTGGATTTCTGTGGATATTTTATTGCCATAGAACTCATCATGAGCTTAGTCAATCATTAAGATTAATCAGAAAATTCAAATAGGAAGCATTGTAATAAATATGGTGACAAAGATGCGGACAATAGTCCAAATAATGTAAATAATGTACATAATACCTCATCTCAGAAATATAGACAGATGCTCATTTTGGTTATTATACTCACAACATTTCAGTCATTATTCTATTCAGCCTTCTTCAGATGTCTGTCTTCGTACACACTAACCTTCTTGGAATTCTGAACCCTTTATTCACTCAACAGGTTCTAGACGGTTCCCATTTTGTTTGCTATACTGGTAGTCGATCAGATTATGCAAACCATCGTGCAAATTGTGAGATAAGCATGAAATTTGGCATAATTGTCCCTGATAGGTCACTTTTTCAGAAAAAAGTGCTAGCCACGAAAAAATGCAATATGGCTGCCATTTTTCAAGATGGCTGCCAAACGGGCCTCTGATTCGTGCATTTTGCTCAAAAACCATATTACAAATTGTGATATAAACTTGAAATTTGGCAGGAGTGTTCCTTGCAGATCTGTTTTCAGATAAAAGTTCTGGCATTGTGAAAACTCAACATGGCGGCCATTCTTTCAAGATGGCAGCCAGTGCCTCATAGTGGCATTTCATCGAGAAGGCAGAAGAGGGCAGTTAATTGATAAGGTCGAGTAGTGGCAGTTCATCCAGGAGACAACATTCAAATTGAAATGTGAGGAGATATGAAGAAAATGTATGTCGCTCAGGGCACACTGGTGACAGACACTGCTGTGGAACTCAGCATGGGGTTCAATGTCAGCTAAACATGGAGTTTAGTATCTCAAATTCTATCTAGTAAGCCCCTAATATATTAGATAGACAGGTTGTGCCAACGTGGGAGAGCCGAGCCAAGGATAACAGGGGCTTTTGAATGGTGTACCGATCGCACGTGATTCAAATGGCATTGGATGAACGATCGGACTAGGTGTAGGGCAGTTGCGTGAACCTAGCTGTATCCCATATATCAAAGTGAGCGAACTGTGGTAAAAGGATAAACCCCCGGCCGTTCCTGTCAAATGATGGATAAAGATTCCACATCGAAAACTGATTGGAGCAAATGCTGCCTTTGCCAGCAAGAAAATAGCAAAGCAACCCTCATTTCACCTCTTAGTTCATTCCAGAGGAAGCAAGATTATGCTGGATACAGTAATATTGCAAGAAATGTACCATTGTTTTATGCCATCAATGATATACCAATAGCCCTTGACCCTTTAGCTAATTTCTCGGATTCCAGAACTTGAATCCCATAAGAAGGGACGTGATGTACTCCTTGCCTTCAAAGCGGACATAGGACCAGTGCTCCATGAAGCTAGCCAGTATAGCAATGCTCTCCATCTATCTAAGGCAGCAGATATCCTGAGAAAAGAAATGCTCCAGCACAAGACAAAATTCAACAGCGAGCTCAAAGATGGCTTTGGTGAGGAGGCTATCCCACCTGCACTTCTTCAGTTCGTGTGCAGCATTGAACATGGTGTTGATATAAAATCACATCTGACGCACGGAATAGCGAAGTCAGACTTAGCTATTGCTCAGCTTTTACAGTTCAACTGCTACTCAAAACGTAGAGAAGGATTGACAACCCAAATACATTCTAAAGACTATGAGACCCCTTTTGCTGTCTATGTCAAGACACGAAAAAGAGAGTTGATTAACAAATTCCATGAGCATGGACTAAGCATATCGTATGACAGGGTATTAGAGATATCCGGCAAGCTTGGTGAAACTGTGATAAAACAGTATGACGAAGAAGATGTTGTGTGCCCAACAGTGCTGCGTAAAGGGCTGTTCACTACGACAGCTGACGACAACATTGATCACAATCCCACGGCCACCACAGTTAGCACGTCATTCCATGGTACAAGTATTTCCATGTTCCAGCACCCAAGTAAGGAAAACAGAGGAGAACAGCGGGTTTCACTGAAAATAACAGACAGTAGGACAAGAAAGGTTCCTGAGTTTCCAGAGCATTATACAAACATCGCGCAGCCTACTTCAAGAAGAACCCAACCCCAGCTTCAGTAGATGAAGTATCACTGCCTGAACCCAGTCTCTTCCAAAGGAACCTAAGAGTCGAATTCGAATGGTTGGAAAAAGTTCAAGATACCACCGATGTAGATGATGAATCCAATATAACATGGTCAGCTCATGCGAGCCAGAATCGGACTAGCGAATGTGAAGCCAGCATCACTTCTTTGCTACCTCTTCTCCGAGATCAAGCTCACAGCGTTGCCACAATAAAGTATGCCATGAAGAAAGTAAGGGAAGCTGTAGCATTTCTTAACCCAGGGCAAACTTCCGTCCTGGAAGCTGATCAACCACTTTATGCCATGGCAAAAGAAATACAGTGGTACTGGCCAGAGGAATATGGAGAAGACAAGTTTGTGATCATGTTTGGTGGGCTGCACATTGAGATGACAGCACTGAAGTCTATTTAGTCGATGCTAGCAGACAGTGGATGGACAAGTGCACTTGTTGAAGCTGATGTAGCCTGTTCCGGAACTGCAGACAACCAATGTCACTAAAACACGTCAAGCACATCAGGTCACAGAATGCAGTTTGTTTCAGCTCCTGAAGAAAGTCTACAGTTCGTACCTTGCCGAACATTCTGATGGCGATGAGGAAGCCTCTAGCTTTGTGGAATGGTGGGATAGTCGAAAGAGGGAGAGTGCACAGTTCGCATTTTGGTTCTCTATCCTAAACATGGAATTGACAATCTTAACACTGGTGCGAGCATTTAGAGAAGGGAATTTCAATCTGTATCGAGAATCACTGTCAGAACTGATACCCTACCTCTTTGCCAACAACAATATCAACTATGCAAGATGGCTTCCTATTCATCTGCGTGATATGATATCATTAGAGAAGCAGTACCCCGAGGTCGCCAGAGAATTTCACATTGGGAATTTCGTGGTTCATAAAACTGACAGGAAGTTCTGTGCAATGGCAATCGACCAAGCCCATGAACAAAACAATGCCGTCATCAAAGGGGATGGGGGAGCTGTTGGTCTGACAGAGGATCCATCAGCTCTTCGGAGGTGGATGGTGGCTGGTCCAGAAATTAGCAAATTCGTTGCTGACTATGAAGTCGTATCAGGAAGCAAAGAGGCGAAGAAAGGAAGTCATCACCATGAGCAGTCGCCAACTGCTCAGAAGGCATTCTTTGAAAAGGTTCAGCGGCTTACAAGTGTGATAGAAGAAATGGGCAATCCATTTTCGGAGGAGTCCACTGATCTACTGTCGCTTGACACTAAGTACATTGCTGATCCTATAGCAACGCTGCTCGTTGCATCTCATCTGGAGGAAGGGAAAGAGCAATTCCAAACATTCCATAAACATAAAGTCAGTCAGCATTTCTATCAGCCAATTAAACGGAATAATAAAGATTTCTTCAAAACATGCACAGATCCAACAGAGAAATCAGAAACACAGCTACTAAAGGAGGATTGTCAACTGTTCTCCCGCCTTTTCATCTCCTGCCAAAGCAGAGGGTGTGATTTACCAGAGTTTTTCAAACATGAGAACCAATCTTTCCCTCCGCGACTCAGCAAGCGAGGCAAACTACATGTCGCTACCAAGTCTGATCTCGTGGACGTCCTGCAAACCAAGGTGGAGCTTCCAGACACGAAGCCAGAAACTGACGTACTGATAGTAGATGGTGCATTTCTAGTCAATACAGTAACGCCGAGGACACCGAAGACGTTTGAAGAATATGCCAGACAGGATATTCTTCCTAAGGTGCAATACTACAGTAACAATTACAAGAGGACAGATATCATTTTTGATGTCTATCACGAGTCTAGTCTGAAGTCTGAAGCACGATCAAAACGCGGGAAAGCTATCAGGAGGAGAGTAACGGCAAAGAGCAAAACACCGACTAATTGGAAGAGCTTTCTAAGGGACAGCGCCAACAAAACAGAGCTGTTGAATTTCCTTGCTGACGAAGTGGGTAAAATGACCACAACGAATGAAGTAATTGTAACACAAGAGGAAAATGCTCTACCAAGTTCCAGCCATCCTGATACTAAGATAGACGAATTGGCTCCTTGCATACATGAAGAGACAGATACCCGGATATTTTTGCATGCCTGGCTAAGGATGGACACAAGTCTCTCATGATTGAAGCTAATGACACGGACATTGTAGTCATAGGCTTAAGCCTGATGTCTTCTTTCACTGCAATGGGCATGGATAAAATGTGGACCGCCTATGGCAAGGGGGAATACACTCGATGGATCCCAATACACGACCTTGCATCTTCTTTGGGACCGGAAAAAACCGAAGGGATACTATTCTTCCATGCTTTTTCCGGATGTGATTTGGTATCTGGATTCAGTGGAAAAGGGGGGAAAAAGCATGGCAGACATGGAATGTTTGCAACGATGCCTCGGCTACATTTGTGAAACTCAGTCACTGTCCTCCTGAAATTAATGAGTCTGATCTACAAGTTCTATAGAGATTTGTTGTTCTGATGTACGACCGGTCAAGTGCTGCTTCTACAGTAGATGAAACAAGGTTAGATCTTTTGCTAGGAAGCAGAGGTCATACAAATTAATCCTGCCAACACAAGGAGCGCTAAAGGAACATGCCAAACATGCTGCCTTTCAAGCAGGACATATCTGGGTGCAGTCCGTCGTTCGTGATCCAGAGCTTCCGTGTCCTTCCAAGTGGGGATGGTTGAAAGATGGTAACAAATGAAAAGATGCCTGGACTTCCTTGGCACCAATTTCTAAAAGCTGTCGTTAATTGACAAAGTGCGGATGTAAGATAAAATGTGGTGGAGGACGATGCAAGTGCTCAAAGGTTGGAACAGGCTGTACTCCGCTTTGCAGTTGCCCTTGTGAGATTTAGTAAACAACAACGAATGAACTTCGGGCTGGACATTTGTCGCCGGTTCTTGGAAGGTTATCCTATTGAAATTCAAATGCAGAGAGTTGTAAGGATATATATGACCTGTAGATATTTTCCCAGATATGGACAATTTCCATGCTGGGTATTAGCACAGAAAGTAATTTTGACGTTGAATTGGACATTTCATCAGGATTGTAAATGTCGACTTTAAATCATTTCATGGAATTATCCACCGTAGGGTATGGGCGCTATATCATGCCAAATCAATTGAAACAGTGCAATCATTGAGTTCTCTGACTCAGATTTAGAATTGATACGGCAATAAATCAAAAATATTTCATCAAATTCTACTAATTTAATGATTTCAGATCAAAATCATAAAACAGAGGCCCGTTTGGCAGCCATCTTGAAAAAGTGGCCACCATATTGTTTTTTTTCATGGCTAGCACTTTCCCCTGAATGAATGGCCTACAAGGAACACTCATGCCAAATTTCATGTTTATATCACAATTTGCACTATAGTTTTTGAGCAAAACCATAAAACAGAGGCCTGTTTGGCAGCCAACTTGAAAAATGGCCGCCATGTTGAATTTTTTTCGTGGCTAGCACTTTTTTCTGAATAAGTGACCTATCAGGAACACTCATGCCAAATTTCATGTTTATCTCACAATTTGCACGATTCTACCCAAAATTTACATTTTCTTGCTCCACTATGGGTCAGAACACATCTACAGTGCCACTGGCTGAGTTTCAGATTTTATGTTTAAAGCTCCAGAATTTTAACACTAAATTGTTTAAGAGATCCACATGTTGATAAAAACATATCTAGTTCCTTGGCATTTGTGAGTTCAATCCCTGAGTCTGGTAGTGTTGAAAAGTCACATATTCTGGTTCAGTTGAAGAAATGGACAAGTGACAGAAAGGTAAATAAAACTGATGAGTATTAATTGATATGAAACAATCTGTAAGCATAGAAAGAACAAACTACTCCTGTTGATTGAATAAAGGGTTCAATTTAAAATTCCAAGACAGTTACTGAGTACAAAGAAGAAGTACCTGAAGATAGTCAGAGAGTACAATGTGAATATAACAACCAAGATGAGCATTCTGGTCTGAATAGAAAATTATATAATAATGATAATAATATCATCTCAAAAATTCCAGTAAAAAATATTTGTTGTTCCTCCTAAGAAAATTGGAATCTTGAAATTAACCCTTTATTCAATCCACAGAAATAGATTGTTCTCATTTCATTTTCCATGTTTAGGAAATATTCTGTATTAGTAAACCACAATTTTATTCACATTTGTACCATTTGTTCATTTCTTTAACTGATCTAGAGATTGAATGCACAACTATCAGAAAACCCAATATGTTTAACCAACACTTTAATCCACTATGTTATGCGTTTTTGCTTAATTCTAGAGTCTTAAATATAATGTTTGTAGTGAAGCAGTAAGAATGAATGAGTGTCCTGGCCCAGTTGGTATTTTTCATTAACATCTTCACCTCAACCCAATAAGTATGCATACAAAATTTGAGGGCTTGACATAAAACAGCTTGATCATGAACAGACACACTGACTATTCCCAATTATATATATATATAGATTACTTTGGAGGTTACATCTGACATTTGTATGTTAAACTTTGGAACTTGATATATTGGATTTAAGTAGGTATGTATGCATATGTATGTTATTCCATTGTTAGCAACAAACAAAACTTACAACAAGAAAAACAAAGAGAGAGTGAGATAGAAAGAAGAATAAAAGAAGAAAAATATAAAACAAATAGATAATAAATAAAAACTAGGCAAAACCACTAAATTTTTTTGTTCCTGCAAGTTCCTTGCAGAGCCTAGGGCCACAAGCACACTGGGAAACTCCCCTCCCATGAGCCAAACCTATGTCAATTCAGCTGCTTTTGCCTCACCATCTACTGATCTTCAGATATGCTCTGGCTTTCTGTAGTATTTCACTAGCATGTGTCATGACCTCTTCTAAAGAGGGGATCATGCCGACCTGGTTCTCAGTCGGGTAATCATTGGGCAATTACCTGGGTGATGCTGTTGTGGTTTCAGCAACACTTACATTTTGCAGAGTGCAGCTGCTAGCTCCCCCCCCAATCTTTCTCATTTACCCTGGCTTTGGACCCAAAAGATGACCCATAAAGAATATATTGGAAGAATTATATGATTAATTAGATGATATTAAATTTAAAACCTACACAGTAGTTGAGATATTTTTTTATTTTATGCAACTTCTGATGCCAGTTTGGAAAATGGTGCAATGCAATCTTCCTCCTTTCTACATTTGGCTTTATACCAGATTATGATCAGTTTATCAAACTCTGTATTACACTAAGAAAAGTAAACGTAAAAGTCATGAGATGGTTTGGTGCTTAAAATGGTTGAAACTCTCTCACTGGCATCAGTGTTTGGTATTTGAACCCAAGTAAAATCCAGAATTATGAATGCTGATTTTTAAGACAAGCTGTTTCCCATATTTGAAAGATTGGTGCTATACATTCTTTCTAAACTTAGTAAAGATTTTGGATGCCTACTGTTGAGCTTTACTCACAGGTCACATGGAAAGCAAGAAAAGCAGAATAAAACAGTACATTTAGGTGCCTAAAAGAAGGTGAGGGACATTTATTAAGACTATCCTGTTTATTAATTTTGAACTTTTTCCCAGAGCTGCATTCAATTAATTATGTATGTTATGTGAGTTACTATTTAATCTATATGATTTTTTATTTGCATACTAATTAAGTTGTGCCTGGGCTTTTTAGTATGTTACTATCTTATCATAAGGGCAATGTGTCTTGGGAATTAAGCTGAATGCTAATAGCAGTGAATAAAAAATGTGTCTACTTAAATTCTAAATTTTTGATTCTTTAAATGATTTTCTGACAGACTTTTATTTCAGACTCCTCTATTTATTGCATATTGAGACAGATTCTAACCCCCCTACACACACAAATTATTGACACCTTGTATTAGGAATCTAAGTGTAAGTAACCTTCTTGACCCATTTGTGAAAATGATGGAAGAACAGGATGAAGAGGAATCATAAAGTATTGCTAAAAGCAACAAAAGACAAGAATCTGTGGAGTGCCATGATCACTCATATTATGAAGAGACACAATATATAACCATTTTTCACAAAAGGAACCATGTCTCTTCAGGGTGTTGGTGATCATGAATCTTTGCATATTCCTTTTCTTTATTATCTGTAAATTGCTATGCATTCTTAAGAAATAGATTGGTTTTCCATTGTCTAATCCATGGTTTGGAATTCAGAGATTTTTCTCCTTAGACAGGTTGCCACCCTTGGCTACAAAGCTCAGTCTACCTTGCTATATAACTCATAGATGGCAGTAGGAAAGGTGGATCCATTCCTTTTCCAAAGGTACTGGTGTAAAAGTGAACATAAGAGACTAGCATGAAATTGAAATTTAGCTCATTGATTCTATTTTCCATGTTGGTATCTGTTATACGATATAGATCTAAGTAATGTTTACTATCTTACTATCCCTCCCCAACCCTATTCTGCTATCTATTTACACAAGCCTGTTAGGTAACTCACTCACTGTTTCCCTTTGCACCTGTTATCGTCAATATATCCTGTGAGTGTTAAATTCTCCAAACCTTCTTCCCTCATTATGTGCCCCAGAAATTTCAACTATCTCTTTCTGTCAACACAAAAACATTAAAATTAGCAACTATAAATTTAAATAAATTAATCAACATCATTGGGACAGTCCAGTACATACAACATTTGCATCCATGTCTGCTTTTCACACATTTCACACATGAACTTTGCAAATACATTTGATTATCAAGCATGGAAAATCAATAATCTTCCAAGATAGATATGCTTTACGATTTGGACCAGCAGAATCATTTTGTTTATTATATTCCTTTGTACCCTTCAGAATTTCAAACTGAACTCATTTCACTTTCATGCTTAGGAAGGATAACTCATATCAATACTTACCAGTTTTATTCATCTTTGTGTCACTTATCTGTTTCTTCCACCTGAGTGTGTGACTTTTTAGCACTACTAGACCCAGGAATTAGATTCAAACAGCCAAGGAACCAGATATGTATTTAACCTTTATCACTCTGAATGTGACTTCATTTACTGTGCAAAAGGTTTATCCTGTAACTGAAGGTGACTCTGATCCCTGAATTTGAATTTGTTTGAATTTCATACTTGTGTTATAATATCCTGCTATGGCAACAGAAAACAACCGAGTAAAATT